CAAAAGAGTCAGGTGCATTATACAAACTGAATGGCATGACACAGAACTCACAGTTTTTTTTATGAGTGCTGACAGTTTGACACACCACCAACTGGAATTAAGATCAAGTGTACTACATTAATAGGTGAATCCAAATAGTTGGCATGCTTATACGAATTTTACTGTTTGTAAGAAGAAAACAGAAGCTGTTGAAATCGAAAAACAAACGTAATGTAAGACTAGTGGTCCCCCTTACTAATGAAGGAAACATTAAAATAGTTGCTTTAAATACTAGGGAACATGTATGACAATGGATGGCAATGTACAGACAGAAATGAAATACAGAAAGCAGGTGCTAAGTTAAAAATATATGGAAGGACAGAAATATCACTTTGAAGATTAAATATGCTCACATAAATCTTACCGACTTATGTGGCAGAAACTTAGGTTCTAAGGGTAAAACAAAATCAACACTTGATTGAAGATGTTTACAAAAAGTCAGAGAACTTACATAATAAAGATCTATGAGCAGCATTACAAAAGAAAAAGATAAAAATGGTACAGATTTTAATAAGAATAAATGATAAAAGAATACAAATCAAAACACTTCATAAATTGACTCCAAGTGAAACTAAAAAAAAGAAAGATAAAGAACAACGTGGTAAGATGCCACTAAAAAGGAAAAAAAAAATATGCCAAAATTTAAAACTTTAACTGTTCTATTAAGGAGATATAAAAATAAGTGCCATAAGGCTAACTCTTCTGAAAAAACTACTGATTAGGACAGATAGTCTGGCTACAGATGAATGCTAAAGAAGTGTATTTTTACAGGTTATGACCTTATTCTTGAGTTAGTCACACATCATAAATGTCGTTCCTTTCAAGTGTCACTGAATTCCCCCACAGAAGGTGTCACTGGAGAATTCCTTGGTCTAGTAATATTATATAGTAATCATTTGTCTATCTTATTCATATCTCCCTTTGGCATAAAGCTCTCTGCAGTTACAGAATAGTACAGTTTTGTACACTAGTGTTCTGCCCGTAAATAGTTGTAAGTTGACTGTGCTTCCTTTAAATAAAGCATTGATTCTTTACCTTGTATCCAGTATTCTTCAGATCTTCCTTTGGCATAAAGCTCTCAGCAGTTACAGAATAGTACAGTTTTGTACACTAGTGTTCTGCCCGTAAATAGTTATAAGTTGACTGTGCTTCCCTTAAATAAAGCATTGATTCTTTTCCCTGTATCCAGTATTCTTCAGATCTTCCTTTGGCATAAAGCTCTCAGCAGTTACAGAATAGTACAGTTTTGTACACTAGTGTTCTGCACGTAGATAGTTGTAAGGTGACCGTGCTTCCCTTAAATAAAGCATTGATTCTTTTCCCTGTATCCAGTTTTTTCAGATCAGTCGAGAAAGTTCAACCTGAATAGCACCTTATGCAACGTATTAGTTAAATGTCCAGATCTTTAAGTTTCAGGTATAGCCATCAAAACTAGAGATCTTATGTGCATCATGCTATGCCGAAAGAGCGAGCATGTTTTGTGGGAATTCATAACCCTCAGAATTACGAGTCAAGTGCCCTTCATAACCCTCAGAATTACGAGTCAAGTGCCCTAACCATCTGGCCATATCAGATGGTAGGCAAGAGGCTGCTATACAGAAGATTAGAAATCCAATTATATAACTTACTTCACTCTATTTAAAACAACAACAACAAACACAATTACTGTATGTCCTGATACCACTTAATAATTTGTGGCCTAAATGGTTGAGTAGGAAATCTTGCTTATGGAGACTGAAAATGATAACCCAAAAATGAATTTTGAAAATAGTGTACAGATTAAGCTAACCATTCACCTTAAAATTAAAAGCTTATCACTTGGGAAATTACTTTTGGATTACGTGTTAATAATTACAATGTTAATGCAAATGAAATTCCTGTAAAAGCAATTAAATATTCAAAATGTGAATTATACTGAATTGGGGGGGGGGGGAGACTGAATCTAAAAAATGAATTATTCATTTAAACCGATGGCAGAACTTGAAAGTTTTGGGATCATTTTAGCAGTACGTTCTACTATTGTCAACCGACTTGTTATTTTAATATACACCATTTTTTATTTTTTCCTTGAGTAAGTATCTTTCCTTAAAAATATAGAAAACCAACCACACAAACAGTTGTATTTGGAGGATTCATGCTGCATTTAAT